CTCTCTCTCTCTCTCTCTCTCTCTCTCTCTCTCTCTTTCTCCTCCCTTCCTCTCCCATCCTCTCACAAGCCCCTGTTAGAATACTGGTTTCCCAGATGGCAATACTATGTTTGAAGGTTGGAGTCTATAACAAATGTGGCCCTTCCCACACCCTCATGGAGGACTGACCCACTGTGCTTTGACTGATAGCCATGACAGGCTGTCACCTCTGAAACCAGAAGTAGACATCTCCTCCCCAGGGCATTTCTGTCTGGTCTTGTAAGGGTGACAGTATGGACAGCAAATGCCCAGTGTAACCTCACCCTTGTGTGACCACACCCCATGTGACCCCACCCTGTATGACCATGCCCCAGTAGATGCTGAGGGCTTGGATATGTTAGACCAGTCTTTTCTTTGGAGAGGAGACCCTGAAAGATGGCCTACCCGCCTCCACAGCAGCCCAGCCGCTGGCTCACATCCCGCCGGAGCAAACCCTCCAAGAGGGACCTCAGCTCAGGTGAGAAGGCGTCTGGAAGCTGCACATTCTGGGGAGAGAAGAGACGAATTTCAAAGGCCCATCCTAAGGTGGTGGCCTCAAACCCAACCAGAGGTCAAGGCTGCTCCTTGGGTAAGTGAAGATCTAAAACTGACTTCATAACAGGTTATCATTGAACCTAAAATGGTTACTGATTGGTTTTGGAATCCTTCAGCAGGTTGGAAGACCTGAAGAGCAAGTGGTCCTCACCTCTGCTACAAGGGATCCTCTCCCCATTTATTTGAAGGCCATGTCTGCTCCCTGTTTGCCATATCTTTCTTATTCTGTTCATTTGCAAATCTCACCATTTGCCCTGGAGTTCTGTTTTGAGTCTTTTTTTCCCCTTCAAAATTTCCCCTAGGAATGGTTTTAACTTCATGTATTAATTTAAACTATACACATTTTATGTTATATATATATATATATATATATATATAACATAAAATGTGTATAGTTTAAATTAATACATGAAGTTAAAACCATTCCTAGGGGAAATTTTGAAGGGGAAAAAAAGACTCAAAACAGAACTCCAGGGCAAATGGTGAGATTTGCAAATGAACAGAATAAGAAAGATATGGCAAACAGGGAGCAGACATGGCCTTCAAATAAATGGGGAGAGGATCCCTTGTAGCAGAGGTGAGGACCACTTGCTCTTCAGGTCTTCCAACCTGCTGAAGGATTCCAAAACCAATCAGTAACCATTTTAGGTTCAATGATAACCTGTTATGAAGTCAGTTTTAGATCTTCACTTACCCAAGGAGCAGCCTTGACCTCTGGTTGGGTTTGAGGCCACCACCTTAGGATGGGCCTTTGAAATTCGTCTCTTCTCTCCCCAGAATGTGCAGCTTCCAGACGCCTTCTCACCTGAGCTGAGGTCCCTCTTGGAGGGTTTGCTCCGGCGGGATGTGAGCCAGCGGCTGGGCTGCTGTGGAGGCGGGTAGGCCATCTTTCAGGGTCTCCTCTCCAAAGAAAAGACTGGTCTAACATATCCAAGCCCTCAGCATCTACTGGGGCATGGTCATACAGGGTGGGGTCACATGGGGTGTGGTCACACAAGGGTGAGGTTACACTGGGCATTTGCTGTCCATACTGTCACCCTTACAAGACCAGACAGAAATGCCCTGGGGAGGAGATGTCTACTTCTGGTTTCAGAGGTGACAGCCTGTCATGGCTATCAGTCAAAGCACAGTGGGTCAGTCCTCCATGAGGGTGTGGGAAGGGCCACATTTGTTATAGACTCCAACCTTCAAACATAGTATTGCCATCTGGGAAACCAGTATTCTAACAGGGGCTTGTGAGAGGATGGGAGAGGAAGGGAGGAGAAAGAGAGAGAGAGAGAGAGAGAGAGAGAGAGAGAGAGAGAGAGAAGAGAATATTATATAATATTCTGTGGCTTTTATCTGTACTCATGGTTGCTTGTATCCATATCTATAGATCAAGAATGCATGGTTGTTCAAATGGGCATGGGTACATCTGTGCCACGGGGCCCATCCTTAGTCCTCTTACCACTGTCAGAGTCATGCGGTCTATCTCGTGCTTGTCTTTGGTTTTATGCTGTCTGAAGGGGCTGTGGCTGCAGATATAAAAGAAAGTTCTATTAAAACATGGCATTGGCTAATGTAATACATGCACTGACTAATTTTTGGGTAAAATATAATACACAGAAATTCAAAGATCATAAACATTTCACCATTTCTGGAAACAAAACCTAGCCACAGAATAGACCTGGTCCCGGAGAAGCCAGACACTTCTCACTTTTGGTCTTCTCTGTAGTGACTTATGGCAGTAAGACAGGCTTCTCCAGTTAAACGGCACCAGCAGCAGACAGGCACCAGGCAGTCACGCTCAGGAAGGCATGAGGGACGCAGTAGCTGCAATGCCAATCTAACTCCTAAAACAGCCCTATGGCCTGTGTTGCACCAATGAGTCCTCTCAGAGTGTGCATTAGCCTAGAAGCCAGGGTGCACACCACGACACAGCCTTGGTGACAAGGACTGCACTAGCAGGCCCAATCCTGCTTTACCCGGGATGAGTCAGGAAAGCTGGGGTCCCTGTGACCTGACTGCTCACACAAACCTTCAGCATCCACATCTACATCTAGACAATAGGTGGTGGCAGCAGACAGTAGGTGAGAATAGGGGGGTCAGTAGTAAGGTATCAGAGCCCAGTCACACTTGGTAAGCGATGAGAAGGATTCCTCTTGGCTAAGTTATTCACTTATTTAACATATTTATTCTTACTTTTCAAGCTATTATTTTCATATAGAGCCACACCAGGCCATTGTCAGCCTTCTCTCTCTCTCCTTGCACCCCTTTCGGTTTCTCCCTGCTTCCCCTTCTCTCCCCAAGCTCTCCTCTTTTCTTCGCTCTGTTCCACAGTGTCCATACTCTCCTATAACCCACACATATGATTTTTATGTCTCTCTAAAATCTGGGACCACAAGTGACAGGACACACGTGATAGTTGTCTTTCTGAGACTGACTCAGTTTGCTTTATATGATTGGCTCCAGAGCAGCTGTTTTACTATGAACAGCTTAACTTTGTTTTCCTTTATGGCTGCAAATAATTCTGCATTGTCTTCATCCATGCCTCTGTTGGGGGATGCCTCGGCTGCTTTAGTGAGCATGGGTCAGCAAGTGTCTTCGAAGTTTTACATAAACATCCAGTAGTTCTATGCGGTATAACACACACATGTACACATACATACACGCATGTGGGTATTGGGGAGGGTCTATGTAGCCCAAGCTGTCCTTAAACTCACTTCCATCCTCCCACCTTTGTTTCTAGGGTGCTGGGATTTCAAAGGTGAGCCACATGTTTTGTGTCTTTGAAAGTCTGCAGAAGCTAGCTTTCACGGGAAACCTTACTGTTAAGTGGTATTTTGAATATGCAAATTAGAACCCATGGCCTAGTGATGTATTTAAAATTGAGAAAGGACTAGCTAGGACTTGGGTTTCCTTACAGAGAGCCATGCCTTTGATGACCAGGCCTTTTTATAAGGTATGTGAGACATAAGCTGAAGCGAGACACTCTGGAAAACATTCCTAGGCCAACTCTGCCAATTGCAGCAGTACATGGAACCTGTGATCAAGGCAACTCTAAAGGAGTGAGTCCCAACCACACCTGTCCTAGGCTGCCCCATCCTGCTGCAGGGAAGCGTTTTGGTCTCAGACTCCTTCCTTCTCCCTCTGTACAAGAGAGGGCGCCCCAGCATCGTGGTGAGTGACCAAAGCAATCCATCACCATCTCCTAAAAGAACTAATTTGAACAAAAGATTCAAACAAGGCAAATTGGCACTAACCAAGGATATGAGACAGTCTTTGAACAGATTTGATTGGAAATATTCTTTTCACCGAGTTTCCAAGGAGAAGGAATGTGCAGTTACTGCACTCAAAGAGGAAACAGAAGCCAGGCCATGGTGGTGTGACAGCAAGGGAGGTAGAAGAGCAGAGGGTTCAAAGCCATCCTCAGCTATGCAAGAATTCCAGACAAGCATAGACTACATGAGACACCGTCAAATAAATACATAAAATAATAAAAACCCCAAAACACGGAAGACAGTGTCTGCTTGCTCCTGGCGACACTGTGCCTTGGGTCACTGTACTTCTTCTCCGACAGCCCTCTTTGTACACATCCACAGAATATCAGCATATTGTGGTTCAGGCAGATGGATGCCAAATCAGTGCCATTCTCTCCGGTTACTACCCTGCTGCATCCTTGTGTTTCTCAAGGTTTAAGGGGTTGGAGAGGACATTGGACTTAAGTGTATGCTCACAAATGTGTGTGCAAAGCCAGTGGCCTCCATTCAGTCCTTGACCTCTGACACAGTCTGAAGGTCAATCCCCGAGGTCCTGCTGAAATATAACTGTGGTGTGTGGAGGTGGGGCCTTTAAATAGTGAGGTCAGGAGGGCTCTAATCCCAGGAAGGCATTAAGGCCAGTCAGAAATGTGAGTCTAGTTTCTGGGACTCTCCTTGCTCCCATCTCCTGCTCTCTCACAGTACCCTTGCCCCTTCCTGTAAGGACACCATAGGAAGTCGTTCAAGCTGCTAACCGAACTCCTGGCTTCCAGGACCAAATACATTCTGCCCATTATAAACCACTGGGGGAGGGGTGAGGCGTGATTCTGTTTCAGCCGCACAAAACAGTGGGAGAGAGCGCCCATCCTACCTACAACAACCCTTCATGCATCCCTAGGGCCATAGACCACCTTTACAAGTTCAGTGGGACTATATCTGACTTAGCAAGGCATTATCGGAAGCTGCATCCCAGCTCTTCAACCCTGCCCGTTTTGTCAGGGACACTTGGAGCTCCACGCACACGAGCTGCCAAATGGAGTCTTGATTACTCTTTGTGAACCAAGTCTGGGACTTGGCTTTCTATTTTGGAAAATGTTAAAGAAAAAGCCTCAGATAGTAACATCTCCATTTTGAGCAGGACAAGTGGCACTCACAGACCTTGTGATGGCAGCTGTCCCCTGATGCAGGCTCTGTAAATAGGTACCCAGTTCCTGGCTGTCATCAGCCTAGAGTGCAGGGAACATGTTCCCCAGCACTGGGTGGATTTTGACTACACAGAGCCTACATCCTGAGAGAAAGCATGGCAGTCTTCATTAAGATAGTACAAGGCTGGGCATATCCCCTACACCTGCCAGGAAACTGAAGAAGCCCATACACTCCTACACCAGACACTTCAAATCCACAGGGTTGGCACTGAGCCCAAACCAATATGATGACACGTGATTAAACATGCTCACAACTTAAATTTGGAATGCAAGAAAGATTGTATGTCACATCAAATATGCCTTTGGAGTTTGAGCCAATAACTGTGAAACATCTATGTAAATGGCTCCTTTTCTCCCGAGGAAAAAGCCAATAGCCCCCGGTAGCACCTAACCCTGCACCCAGGCCTCTGCCCAGGCTCTATCCTGATGGAAGACATATATTGGGGAGGGGCCTCCCCCAGAAGAAGAGTTCTTGATTCCCACAATTTTTCGGGGGACAGGGAATCTCCTATGTGCTTGGATACCTGAGTAGCGCCCATGCTCCCTAAGCTATGACAACCAAAACTGTCTCCAGGGAGTGCTGAGCATCCCTGGAGATTGCAGCCAAGTGTTGCTGGTTGTCTGGCTGCAGCTGCCCTAGGATGGGATGGGCTACCCCCAGGAATGCAGCATGCCTCTAGGCCCAAGCTCTGCCCACTCAGTGTCCTGCTCCACCCACTTTCTCTTCTCAGGGCCAATGAACAGCAGCTTCAGGGGCCTCTAAACCACATGTGACCACGTTCACAAGACACAAAGCAATGCTGAGTCTCCCCATGTGCAGTTTCATGAGTGGCATTTACTGTCATTTATAGCTTGGGGAAGGATGGTTCCCAGCCTAGTTCCTCCTCCTTTAATTAAAAAATCCCCTAATTTTTATTTTATGTATATGGATGTCTGCCTGAATCTATCAGTGAACCATGTGCCTGCAGTGCCAGCAGAGGCCAGAGGAAGGAGTCAGAGTTCCTGGAAGTGGAGTTACAGAAGGCTGTGAGCTGCTGCATGGCTGCTGGGAATCAAGCCTGGGTCCTCTGAAGAGCAGAGAGTGGCCATCACCCTGAGCCACCCCTCCAGTCTTAGTTCCTCCTTCTGAAGACCTGCCTTGGGGCCTCACTCATGAAATGTGACCTTGGTTCCTCCTGAAGCACTGCTGACTGTGCCCTCCCAAGAGAGAAACGCCACCCTTCCATATCCACAGGATGTCCCTGCACCTTCTAGCTGACTCTACCGTACCACCGTGTCCCTCACACCCCTTCCAGCCGCAGTTCAGGCATTTCTCTGTCCCTCTGACACTACTGGTCGCCTCTGGAAGCATCTAACTGCAGGTTAAAAACCTTCACCTGACACCAGGAAACAAGGCCATGTGCCACAGCACACATGGAGGTCCTCCCAGGTCTCTGTTGCTTCCTCCAACACACTGGTTACCACTCATTGGGCCAATAGCAAGCTGCACCTATTCCCACAACATGTTTCCCATCCTGAGAGCCCCATCTCCCACACAAAGTCACCCCACTCAGCCAAGCCCGAAGTGGGTCCTCCATTTCTGTGCTTCCCAGCACTCAATCCTCTGGGGAGCCTCCCCTCTCTTGCCTTCCTTCTCCCCTCCTCCCACAGCCCTCCTCCTCCTCTGTATCAGGCAAAGGCCCTTATGTGCCTTAAGTACTCAATAAATGTTTATCAAGCTCAAATCGCCGGAGTCGGAACTCATTTCCTGTTCTTTGCTTGTAGTGCCACACCGCTCCCTGGAAGGGCTTTTGAGTAAGCACTGGGGTGGGGGAAGTCTGAAAGCTGAATCTCAGTGGAAAGGATGCATCAAAGCCCATTTGCCATACAGGCCAAGACTCCTCTCCCTGGGCTCAAGCAGTCAGCAGACAGTGACCAGGAGTGTAACACTCCTTTGGGAAACTAGAGGCTTACATGGCAGTACATATAACAGATTCTTAGGTCATGTGTCCCCCCTCTCTCTCTGTCTCATGTGTGTGTGTGTATATGTGTGTGTGTGTGTGTGTGTGTGTGTGTGTGGTGTGTGTGTGTGTGTGTGTGTGTGTGTGTGTGGTGTGTGTGTGTGTGTGTGTGTGTGTGTGTGTGGTGTGTGTGTGTGTGTGTGTGTGTGTGTGTGTGGTGTGTGTGTGTGTGTGTGTGTGTGTGTGTGTGGTGTGTGTGTGTGTGTGTGTGTGTGTGTGTGTGGTGTGTGTGTGTGTGTGTGTGTGTGTGTGTGTGGTGTGTGTGTGTGTGTGTGTGTGTGTGTGTGTGTGTGTATTTGTAGGGAGAGGTATGGAGGTCAAAGGACAACTTTCAGGAGTTGGTTTTCTCCTTCCACCATGTTGGTCCCCAGGATTGAACTTGGGTCCTCACTCAGGCTTGGTGACAAGTGTCTCTCCCTACTGCATCATCTCACCAGGCCAATCCTTTTCCTCTCTGAAGCAGCCTTTCCACAAGACCCCCTTTTGAAGGGCTGCCGTCAGGCATTTTGGTCACCTGACCTGTGCCCACTCTCTGGCTTCCATCTCTCTCACCTCTCTCTCGAGCAACTGTCCCTGGGACCATCCTCGGGGGCCTTCAGGTCTGTGACAGAAGAAAAACCTCTTGCCACAGGAGATGAAGGATTTCACCAAGGACTTCCTAGTTTCCCACTCAGAAGGAGCCAGGAGCTCCTTCTGGAAGGAACTCAGCCATGTAAAACTAAACTGGCTCTGTGAGGGTGGAATCACAGTTGCAATAGGACTGAAGTGATAATTAGACAAGTCCTTCCCAATTCTCCAAACACAAAGTCATGTGGCTGCAGACCCTCTGCAGGCTATGAGCAGGACTGTTTTACCAACGCTGGCTAGGGATGGCAATGAAGAAACAAATCCCAGCCTTCTCAGACTTGCACTGCTTCCCTGCAGTCCTCTTGTATCAGACAGTTGGGCTGCTGTCTCCAGGGACTGGAGGAACTCCTGGGTGGCTCCCTGAACTTGCAATGACCGCAGTGGGCACAGAAGGGGTCTCCCTAGGTAATGGCTTCCTCTGGCTTGCTCTGCATAAGCTCTAATCAGGTCAAGATAGTCTGCCAACAGGAATGAAGGGCGCCTGGGCTCCACCAACATGGTACTGGTAATACAATTACTGAATAACAGACCTGACTTTCTTAGCGGTAATACAATTTTAGATCCCCAGGGAATACAATGGGCACAGCGGAATTGGATTACAGAAGCATCAAGGATGTAGTGAGTTGGACTTGGAGCCAAGTTTGGAGGACTGTGGAGTTCAACGGCTCTACAAATGCACTAAACAGAATATATGAGTTTTCCTGGGGGCTCAGTGAACCCTCAGCAGGCTGTGGCAACTGATTAAGAGAGCAATCTGGACAGGAAGTGGGGACAGGAATCTTTCTTAGACCTTGGTGATGAGAATGAAGAATACAGTTGGATTCTACTAGAATCAAGCTTCCAGCTAAAACCATCCAAAACAGCTGGAGAACCATAGACAGTGTCAGCTGTCAATCATCCAGGATGAGAACACATCTTGGGGCACACTCCCCTGCTGCCCAACTCAACGTCTCTATAGCTTAGAATATGGTCAAGCAGAAAGGTCAGCTTCAGAGGAACAACATTAGCAGGCTCTCAGAGAAATGCCAGCCTCTCAGCTGGGGTTACTTTGGCTCCCCGTGCCCCACATTCCAGAATCCCCCAGGTGCTTGGTGTTCAGGAATCACAAGAAGTCATTTGTGGTGGGGGTGGAGGGAGATACCACCTTCTGCAATAATCCACATTTTAACACTTTGCCTAGTCCCAGAACATGGCCTACTGTGGAAATGCTCCAAAGCCCTCTTGGTTTGCTATGTTTTGTCTCACTTTACCTTAGTCCTAGTTTAAGGTACCTGGGACAAAAATGTGAAGCTGTAAGTAAAGCTTTCATCCCTGGGTCCTCAGGACAGAAGCTCCTGCCACAGGAGGAGCCACCACGGCTGATATCTGCAGCAGTGTGTCTTAAAGGCTACTGTGTTTGACTTAACAGGACATCAAGGTCGTGACTTAAAAATATTCTCCCCACCCCCATGCTGAGGATAGAACCCAGGGCCTCTGCCCCTGGAAGCTCCATTGGACCCAAGCACCCCCAGGACGGGACGTCTGAGTTCCACTCACCCCCGCAGGAGCTTGAAGAGCATACAACCCAAAGAGAACCAGTCAGCGCTGCTGTCATATGACGTCCCCTTCTGCAACACCTCGGGAGCCATGTACCCATGGGTGCCCCTGGGGAGGGAAGGAAAATGGTCACAAGCATATGCTCACTCTGGAATAAGGAGGATGCCCCATGTTGGGAGGGTGGTGACTGAACGCAGAGAAGAGAGCATGCACCATGGCCTGAGCTCATGCCTCATGCTGAGCGCCCCGCAGAAGGCGACCATGAGTTCACACAGGAAGGGAAGAAGGATAAGGGCAATTTGGCTGAGACATCTGTCACCCCACTGACTGCCACAGTTGACTCAACTGATCTGGCTTGCGAGGTGGGTGTCTGTGAAGACCCAAGAGTATATACACTGTGCCCCAAGATAAGTCTGAATGACCCGGCGGAATCTTCCATGATGCCATCCAAAAAGAGCCTTGGGAAAGCCCTTGTCTGCAGCTCTCCAGCCCCTCTGTCTCTCTCTAGCCTCTGTCGATGAGGGAATAAAGAGGTGCTGAGGGGAGAGCAGGTGTGGCCACAGCTCAGCCTCACAAGACCCAGGAGGTGAACTGAACCCATGTTGGACAGGAGGCAGGGTTCAAATCATACCTTCCTTAGGATGAGTTACTGCTGACTTGCTTATGCACACTGAGGTTTTATTCAGAAACCCCTGGTCAGTAAGGATCATGGGTGATCCCTGGAGCCCATGGGGGGAGGCTTGAAGGAGCTGCATAATACATGACGTGGGTGCTGGCAGGTAGTACTGGGCCTGGCTTTCTGTAAGGTGCCAGCATAAGGTCGAGAGAGCCAAGCCAGGAACAGAGGAGACCTCTACCAGGGCTTTCAGAACATTTTCTGAGACAGTTGAGTTTCAGCCTAGCCTGAAAGCCCCTTGAAGTGACTGTTGGGTGCTACCCATGACTGAGCCACAATTTGGGAATGGAGGGACACTGTCCAGGAGAAATCAAACAAGCTGATGTAGATGGGCTCTGCGAGTGTTGTCTGGAGTCCACCAGAGCTGCTCAGGGCCACCATTGCCTATCCGTGTGCATTTGTCATCTGCATAAAGTGGTGCCAGCATTTAAACCAGGAGTCTGTTCGACGTCTCAGCCCAATCTCTTTGAGAATGCTGTTTAAGACAGTCAGTGTCAACCGTCCACATGGATCTGGAACAACTGGGAGACAATCCTCTAGGCACATGTGGGAGGAATTACTCACACCTGAGCATGCCTGTGCCCAAACTGACTGGGTTACCTGAGGTGGGAAAGCCTACACTACAAGTGGGCAGCGCCATTCCCTAGGCTTGGGTCCCGGGCTGCATAAAAAGGACAAAGTTAGCTGAGCACGGGCTGTTCCCCTGACTGGATGTGATGTGCCCAGCTGCCTCAGGTCCCACAGCTAGGATGTCCCTGGCATGATGCATCATCACCTGGAATTACAAACCAAAAAGGATCTTCTTCCCTTAAGTCCCTATTGTGGGGGTATTTTATCACAGTGACAGAAAAAAGGAACTTAAGTCACTGTTCAAAATACAGTTCTTCCCAAGGCAGGCCCAACAGCCCTCCATCTGGACCAAGGCAGCCAGGCTAGTGGGATAAACGATGCCATGCCACAGAGTTGAGTTTCTGGGAAGATGAATTCTTATGAACTCTCCTACTCACGTTTAGTTATAACCACAGTAAACTGAAGACATGAGCATGCCGAAGAGGGGTGGCATTAAAAATTCAAAAGCATCTCTTGAAAATGGCCAAGCAACCTCCCAGGAGGAGTGCAGGTAGCCGCACTCCCGCAGAACCTTGATGCTCTCAGTCTTGTCCCAGCTTCCATGCAAAGAGCAACCTACTTTGGAAACTGCAGTTTATGATCAACGTTATCAATGCACAACTGAGGCTTTCAAAGGCGGCTTTGATTTAACGCAGGCCCTCACAGTGCACTGCAAATCCACCCCTTCAGTTCTAGTTACACAAAAGAAGGGCCTACAGTTTATCTTCCACACAGACATATAGAATGAGACTCAGGTACTTATCTCCAGGACCATTCACAAGAGAGAACACTTGCTCAGGGGGATAGTTAAATGTAACTGTAAAAGATTCGGTGCTAAGAATGAGAAATTTTAATATTCATTTAATGTCTGTGTGTGCATGTGTGTAGGGGCCATACTCAGGCCACGGCTTGTGTGTGGAAGACACGGGACAACTTATGGGAGTCAGTTCTCTCCTCCCTCCCATCGCGTGGGTCCCAGGGGTTGAACTCAAGTGGTCAAGCAGGTTGGCAACAGTTTTATCTGATGAGCCTTTCATGGGCCCAGAAGGAGACATTCTAGAAGGCAAAGTGGGGTTTGGGGGTGTGGTTCACTGGCACACTCTTCTCACTGCTGCTTCAGAGCTGGGGCAAGGCTTTAAACTAGAAGTGGCCAGAGGCCAGGCAGGGTCACCTGTCCTTAGCACTGCCACCACTAAATGCAGGTCTGAGTCATCAGAGATGGCTAAGGGCTGTGGCCTCAGGAGTCACTTCCCTGTGACAACCAGTTCACCTCCCAAGTCTGAGGGCATGACCTATATTAAACCCTGAACTGTAAGTAGGTGGCTGGCTCCCAGAAGCTCCTGATTTCTCAGAAGTGCAGGAGATGGAGATGGGAAGTTGCCCTGAGCTCTCCCTGGGGGCATTCCGGGCAGCCAACACATGCCTCTCCAACGCATGGACTCTGTCACATACTCTGGTAAAGGGACTTATTAGCTCGCTCTTACAGAAGAAGAGACTAAAGGCCAGAGAGGGCGAGCTGACTTGCTTGGAATTTCACAGGCAGCAAGCATGACCTTAGCTTTGGCAGAACCAGAGCCCTTCCTATGAGCCAGCTGATTCCCCAAGCAGGCTCAGGTCTCCAGGAGCCACATCTGTCCCCACAAACAGTGACAGGACGCACCTTGCTCTATAGCTCCACTCCTACCACCTTGACACTGAATACGACTAAGAAAAATCCCAGCTAATTCTGGAGGGGCACCAGAGGCCAGGTATTGTTGCCTGAACACAGGTGCCATGGTTTGAAAATTTGGACACACTACTCACACGCTGGCATGGGGCTTCTTTTTGGAGAAATCACAGGCGAGGCCAAGATCAGATATCCTCACATGCCCGTACTCATCCAGGAGGATGTTTGCAGGCTGAAAGAAAAAGAAGTTCAAGAGTCCCCCAGAGGTCACCGGAGCTTCACATGCCCTCCACAGGGTGCACCCCTACATCATCATTTCATCATGGCTGACATGACCTGGGAACTCTGTGCTCTCAGGATCAAGGCAGCAGGACAATGAACACAGCAACACTCTGCTGACTTCAGTGGGAGGGGGCTGTGAGAGAGACAACGGGCCCTCCCCACCAGAGAATGATACCCAAGGTGGCAGGCAGGAGGGTTCCCACCATGGAACTGAAAGTATGTCCTCCCCATTACTCTGAGAGCTTTGGTGTAGCCAGCATGGACATCCTAGCAATGGAAAGCAGGGCCACAGGCTTCTGCAGACCATCCATGGACCACGAGGTTTCAGAGGATGCATCTGGTATCCTCTGGGCATATGTAACCATTGGCCCAAGGGCTGGAAGCATCCCAGAGCCATGCCAACTCTGATGAACAGCCATCGCCAACAAGGGCCCTACCAAATGGCCAAACTGGAGTCTGACTCTGACTCCAATGTGACTGGGACATTCCCATCCAAATTAGATTTGGTCAGAGCAATCACAGACACAAAGACCCCACCCCCAGCATACCCAGCTACAGTCACCTCGGGAATATCTTTCTGCCGTGAAACACCTACTGTTTTGCCTAAAATAAAAATAATGGCAAGCTCTTACAACACTGAGACATGAATAGTCATGAGTAACTGGAATTAAATTTGAATGGGAATTAAATAACATCGTTGCCTACTAAATAGCTTGGAAAATGAAAACAGAGGGAGAGGTAAAAGCCATTCCAGGGTTTAAATTAAGACACAGGGCAGCAGCTCCATGAGCCGTCAGCATGTATCTGGTTCCTCATAGAATTCATGAACAGCTAACATGCCACGAGCCTACCAGCATCTGGCTATTTCTAGTTCAATTAAAAAAATTATCTTTTCTTCTGTATTCGCACAAGAAAGCTAAGAGAGGAATTCTTTAACCCAAAGAACACTTTCAATTTCACAAAAGTATTCTGGGAAAAAGAAAACTATGTGCTCAAAACCAAAACACAGCATTTTTGCTTCCTAGATCAATCAGGAGCAGGAGGGGGTTGGCACATCTGTCATCTGGCCACTCAAGTTTCATGCTGCCCTGGGCTACATAATGAGGCCCCTGCCTCAAACAAGCAACATAGCAGCTTCTCACCAAACTCAGGAGAAAGGGACAGGATTTCACCCCAGACCACTGTGTGTTCAGATCACCACAGGACATGGGACTGAGAGGCAAACACTTTCTCCATGTTTTCTTATCCTGTTGGTAAACTGCCACCCGACCAATTTACCTCTTTTACTGCTTACACATCCCGCACATATGTCTATAATCTGTCAGGGTCTCTGTCCTTGATTTTGTTTATTTGTTTTTTTCAACTTGACACAAGCTAGAGCCATCTGAGAAGAGAGGACCATAATTGAGAAGATGCCTTCATAAGATCAGTCTGTAGACAAGCCTGTAGGGCATTTTCTTAATTAGTGATTGATGGGGGAGGGCCCAATTCATTGGGGGGAGGGCCCAATTCATTGTGGGTGGGGCCATCCCTGAGTTGGTAGCCCTGGGTTCTATAAGAAAGCAGGCTGAGCAAGCCACGATGAGCAAGCCAGTAAACAGCACCCCTCCAGGCCTCTGCATCAGCTCCTGCCTCCAGGTTCCTGCCCTGTTTGAGTTCCTGTCCTGACTTCCCTGCATGATGGACTATGATGTGGAAGTGTAAGCTGAAATAAACCCTTTCCTCCCCGAGTTGGCTTTGGTCATGATGTTTTATCACAGAAACAGAATCCCTAACTAAAGCAATCCCTTTTACTCTCTCCTCTATCTGCATCACACATAGATGGTGTCACCACTGACACATCTAGCAGCTACCTGGATCCTTCCTGCATGGAGACCCCAGCACCTAGCATGCCTCTAGAGAAAGAGTCACAGTTCAGTTTCATTGCTTGTCAGCCCGGCAAGGTGTCCCCAGGAAGTTCTAGGGGCTGAACTACAATCCACAACCCACCCTTTTCCATCCAAACAGCCTTGATCACAGAAACCAAGACTCCATCATCCTTTATCTTGGCTCACAGTTCATCTTTATCCCTCTCAAACCATGACCAACCAGCAGGGCAAGATCTGTTTCTTAGTGACCATCAGCTAAACCACGATTACATAGAAAGTGGGAAATGCCCAAAACATGCTGACCAAAATCTCCTTTATTGTGCAACTCCAGGACCTAATGTGAGAACTTTCTCACCCAGCATCTTAGCAGGCACTGAGGTCCATGACAACAGGGATTGGCCACAGGTACACCCCCTGCTGTTGGTCACACAGTGAACTTAGCCAGGGCTGAGACAGGACTGGGAGTAAAGGGACAGGGCCTTAGGGCAGAGAAGGGGGTTTCCAGGGGACTGTGGGCACACCCAGACTCTCCTCACCTTCAGGTCTCTGTAGACAACGAATCGGGTATGCATGTGCTCCAGGCCCAGGATGATCTCACTGGCATAAAAGCGCATCTCCTTCTCAGAAAACACCCCATGCTGGGAGAGGTGGTAGTGCATGTCGCCCCCTGCAACCAGAGACCCAGAGCACAAGTCACAGAATGTTCATTGAGAGTAGACAGGGGTCACCCTAAATAATGAAGGTGCTAGAGAAAAGGGGAATAGCTCTTCCTTTTTGCCTTGATATCTGTCTTTGGTTTCTGTAACGTGGCCAAAGGTGTTGCTCATTGCTGAAACAGCTTCAAGGGGATGATGGGTGAGACAGTGTTTCATGGACAAGACGGAGCCACCATTCAGGGCTTAGTGGCTCTGCTACCAGTTACACCACCAAGCATGGGCCAGCTGAACCACTGATTATTCAAACCTGCCCAATCACTGAGGCCATATATGTAGCTTTCCAAGGCACTGACCTCCCCAATAGCCCACAGTTAAAAAAAATCAAAACCAAACCAGAAAAACCTTAAACCCTGATCCCATGGAGGGAGATTTGATGCTGTCAAAACAGTGAAGTATAACTGATAAAACCCAGGTGATGTGTATCTGAGAGCCCTCATAAAACTGTCACCTTGGCCACGAGTTCAGAATTGTTCAAAATACAATGTTGGGAAAAGCAAATAGCCATGTGGCTTCAAGGACAGTCCGTAAGGCACAGGGCAGGGAGGGATATGTCTGACTTTGCTGCCCTGGACTTCACACACCTCTTCCCTTATTGCACATGTACCTAGACACTAAATAAAGAGTCCCAAGCTCTTTCCAGTGGGCCAGCTCAAGCTCTCCCAGCATGGCCCTGGCAGGGAAGGGGCCACTCTGCCCTCACCCTTTCATGGGCACCACCCCTCTGCACATTCACACACAGGATCTGCAGGGTGAGAGCTGTTGGCTCTGGCTTCTTCCACTCATTACTGATCTTTTATCCTTCCTATTTTGGGGGTAGAGCTGAGCTCAAATCAAACACTCGAAACACAATAAAACTTCAAGCAGACTAAAAAAATGGGGGATCTGAATGGCTGAATGGTTCATCTTTCATTTCAGCTTTTCCTAAAAATACTCCAAGTGCTCCGATATGGCATTCTCATGCTGAAAGCTCTTTCCAGCTGAACATTCTGTGTCTGTGCATTTTCAGGGTGGCTGCTCATGGTTTCAAAGATGAATGTAGAGTCCTGAAGACTTTGGAGGCACAGAAGAACAAGGCGGAACCCACATGAACCAGCTCTGGAAAGCCAGCTTCTCAATGCATGTCTATCTTTGGCCTATATTCTTGGGCGGTATTTCATTCCTGAGAGTTGAGACCAGGAAATTAGCTAACTAAAGACTGAGGCCAGCTGTAGTCCAGAAGTTAAAACTTCAAGGCCAGTATTCATTTTGTGAGAAGTTTCTAGGACCCAGCTTCCCAGGAAGAGAATGGCAGCCTGAGAAAAATCACAGCCAGTGTTGCAAGATGAATCTATGAAAACGAAAAGGCAAAGATACCCTCCAAACTACAAACAGAGTCTGATTATGGTACAGGTTCTCAGAGCCCAGCACACCTGGGTGCTACCAGCTCACAATGAGCACCAGGCAGAGTCCTCCACTGCAGCCAGAAATTGGGGTTTGCTTACCGTTCATTAGGTCCAGGATGAAGCAGAGTTTGTCTGGTGTGTGGAAGGCATAGGTCATGCAGACGATGAAGGGACAGTCCTAGAGTGAATGAACGCAAGCCTGTGAGAAGAACAGAGCTGCCCACAAAAAGCACGTCCAAACACCCCACTGCAGACTCCTGCTGAGCCTTCTCCTTGGCACTGACTGTGACACGCACTGGTCACTTCACAAGCCGAGGAGCAGCAGATCCCACTGACAAGGACACCAAGATACAGGCCACCATCAGAGCAGCTGGACTTGAGGTGTTCTCTCACCCTGTTTCAACCTGCCATTGCTCTAATCACAACCCCTTCAAAAGACTAAAGACTCCAGGGACACTACTGTCCCTCTGGTCTCTGCTGGCCAAGGTTTGGGTCCTGGCCAGTCAACTATGTATTTGAAACTCTGCTTTGAACTCAGAAGAATCCAATGATAGTGTGATCAGTACCTGTGTTATTAGAATGAAATTAGCTTTTGAAGGTGTAAACTATGCTGTAGAGTGACTGACAGAATAACTCAACAGTAAATGGGTGTTCATGTCCCTGGAATCAGCTATGGATTCCACAGAGCCCTAATAGAAATGGACCCTGACAGGTTGATTAATGTGTGGGACTATAAATAGTCAAAAAGTATAGACACACTTCACAAAAACAAGCCAGCAAAGTTGCAGATAGATGTGATGACTTCTTGTAGGGCTGGGAGCAGACTCGATGGGAGCATTGCTGCTACACAGCAGAAGGATCTGAGTTCAGACACCCTGCACCCCGCTGAGCACACATTGAAATGCTAGCATTGGGGAGGCTGAGACAAGGGGGATCCTGGGGCTTGCTGGCTATCAGTCTAGCCAAGTCAGTGAGTTTCAGGTTCAGTGTGAGACCCTATCTCAAAACTCAAGGTACAGAGAGAGAGAGTAAGTTAGCAGCCACTTCTGACTTCCACAGGCACACATATGAATAAGCACCCCGACATCCCTCCACACAGGTTCATGCACACACATACACACACAGATGTATACATGCAAACACACACATACAGGTATATGCACACTTACTATATATATATATATATACGCACATACATATACATGTGCACCCACATAGGTGCACACAAATATACACATAGAGGTACACACATGTATACACACAGGTACACTCATATATATACATAAAAGTACACACACAGGTGCACAGAATGTACACACCAACACACAAGTGCATATAATGAATATACACATACTCACAGGTGTACACAGGTATACACACATACATAGGTGGATGCATGCACATGCATACACACAGGTATACACACATACACACATACACAGGTACACACAGAGTACTGCCTATAAGGTAAATGTAGTTAAGACCGCATGGCCTAAGCTCAAACACAAAACAATGTAGCTGAAGAAGAGAACCCTCCAATGGACACACATGTAGATGGCCACTTGAATGCAATAAATGTAATATAAAAGGCCACGGGCAAGCTACAGGCAGTGTCAGTGTTTTCTATCAGTACTGAAGAACTGAGCATCTATACAACAAAGCCGAAGTGTGACCTGGCCTCACACACTGCGCTAACACCATCATTAGAAGCCTTGGTGCTGAGCTGTGAGCAGTTATTTGGAGCTGTTATCTGGGTTGCATTGTGCATCACCCGTTGACTCCATCACCTGGCAACCCCTCACCAGGTAGACAACTGGGGCCCCTCTGTGCCACAGGTGCAGGAGTACCACTCCCAGAGCTGCCGCACAGCTTGCCCAGGAAAGTCTCCCAGAAGAGTCAGGGAGAAGATGCATTACTGAGACCGGAGCCTCTGGAGCTGAACAGTTCAGGTTCTGCAATCCATGCACAGTGTCTGCCCTCAACTCTCGGTGTCCTTCCCTTACAAGGCATCTAGAAATGGAAGAACCATCCTTGGCTCATGGGCTGTCTAGAAGAAGGCCTCAAACTGGATTTGGTCCTGGGGCCACACAACTCTTTCCAACCCTGCTGTCCAGCTACACATCAAGTGACTGCCATGTGCAGCAACATGGGCTATCTCACGCTCCCGGGGAGAAAGAGGCAGACAGATGAGGCTAAGCAGAGCTAGCCACCTTGTGAAAGTGCAGAAGAATGGCCTGGGCTGAGAGGGCCTGAGTTTGACTTTCCAGAACCCACATTAAAGAATTAGATATGGTGACCTGTGCTTGCCATCCCAGCACTGTGGAGGCAGAAAGAGGTAAGGTATGAACTTGGAATCATTTCCATGAGTTCTAGAAAACTGGGTCGAAATGAATGACAGCTTTCTCTTTGGTCCTCTATTGAGGTGGTGAATTTACTGACTCCAAAGGTTGTGTACCCTCAGGTACAAGAAACGCCGAGCTATCCTCCTGTCAGCCAGTGGCCTTCTGGGACCCTGTCTTAGCGAGGATTACTATTACTGTGATGAAACACCGTGACCAAAAAGGGTTTGTTTAGCTTACACAACAATGGACTGAATCACAGTCCACTGAAGAAAACCAAGGCAGGAACAGGGCAGAAACCTGGAGGCAGGAGCCGATGCAGAGGCCATGGAGGGGTGCTGCTCACTGGCTTGCTTCTCATGGCTTGCTCAGCCTGCTTTCTTATAGCACCCAGGACCAGCAGCCCAGGGAAGGCCCCGCCCACAATGGACTGGGCCTCCCTCATCGATCACTAATTAAGAAAATGCTCTACAGGCTTGCCTACAGCCAGATTTCATGGAGGCATTTTCTCAGTTGAGGTTCCCTTCTCTCAGATGACTCTAGCTTGTGTCAAGTTGACACAAAACCAGCCAGCATAGACCCCCCATGCTTCTCCAGCTCTCCCCATGACCTTCTGAGGACATCATCTTGTTCTGCTAAACAGTTCCCCCTTCCTCCTCAGTGGGACTCTCCAAACCCTTTCCCTGTGATCGAACAGGCAGTTTGGGGGAAGAGAGAAATGGGTGGACCCAAAACTCAGTAAGGCCATGGTCTTTCCCAGCTGGGGCGGGGAACTGTACCCAGGACACTAGGGGACCTTACAGGGAGATTCTGAGACATAGTGGCTTGTAGTCCTTCTAATGACAGCCCTGAGAAAGCTGCAAAGGGGCTGGCTGTGTCTCTCTGAGAGAGAGTGTGTCTTTAGTAAGATAATGAATGAGTTTTAGATTTAGAATCAGAAGTTCTAAAAAAAATTAAAATAAAAATAAAATAAACAGCTGGTCTCACTTCCTTAATTCAAACACCAGGAAGTCAGGCCCATTGAATAGGGAACTGCTTGCCTAAGGCCACAAAGAAAACAGTAGCTGGCCATGATGGAAGCCCCATATTCCCCTGGTCCTCTGAGCATCACAGTAACTCTCTATAAGGCTGTTTCACCCATTCCCAGGAAAGGCTCCCCTCAACCCAGTTCCAGCGGGCTGTAACTACACCCACTTTTTTTTTTAATCAGCCTCAGCCCTGACCACCAAGTTCTGAACAATCAAGTCACTCAAGTTGGAGTCTTTCAAATCCTTTAGGCAAGCCTTGTTTCTCACAGCCTCAGACCACAGACCCATGGTAATCTCTGCCTCCCTTAATGTTCAAGCCTGGGGAAACTCAAAGCTACTTCACCTGGCCTGGCCACACCTGCCACCAGATCCTTCCCTGGTCTCTGTGGGAGGGTCAGGTGCCTAATAGTAACAGGTGACAGTGACTAACTCAGTTGGCCTCACTGGGCATCTGACCAAACTAATGTGAGACCTGTGGCCATCCCCTCCCCCACCACACCTTGGGGAACACCCCTCACCCTCTCCCTCACCGACCACCACACCGACCCAGGCCCTACATTAGTCTGGAGCTCAGTTGCTCCCCCAGGGTAAGTGGTTACAGTTTCTAAGGCTTTAACTCAAGCAGCATAATACTTATCACTGACATGGTGTGAAATGGGCCAAAGGGAGTAACAAAGTAACAGAGAAAAGGCAGGAGGCTCTGTGTACTGCCTCATAGGATGTATTACTGACATGGTGTGAAATGGGCCAAAGAGAGTAACAAAGTAACAGAAAACGCAGGAGGCTCTGGGTACTGCCTCAGAACCTGCTGCCTGTATTTAAGCCTCATCGATCCAGGAGCCAGGCCGACACCAGAAGGAGTGTCACACGGTGTCCAGACATTCAGAACAAGATGCTAACAATCCCCAGTCACTTTACTATAGCTCTCCAGGTTGACCCACTTGTGTCCTCATTAACAAAACGGCCTCAAGATCGATAACTGAACACAAGTAGGGTTCTCTTCAGTTAGTTCAAGTTAGTGGCCCAATATAACATCACCATTTTCAAATTCATTCCCTTCAAGACAGACCAAAGATCACCCACACACCCTTGTCAAAAAAAAAAAAAGGAAATATTAAATGTAAAATGGCCTTGTATATTTCCGACATCAAAAAAATACATTCTCCATATTACTTCTTGAAAACCAATGGGGCGTTGAAATAACTCATTTATTTAAAATGAGGCTAAATGTCCAGAGTTGGAAGGCAGAGGTGCATAATGAGGGACTATTTAGAGCCCTGTTCTCATTTTACAGTTCTTCTAAATGACACAGTTACTTGGTTTCAGTAGCAAACAGTCCTTCTAGAAGCTCTGAAAAGAAATGCTAGAATCATTATCAACCGCAATTCAATAAAATCTGGTTACGAAAAGCCACTTTTCCTCCAAGGGGATGATTCAAAAGGTGAACTTGGGTCAGTGTAGCCAAGAATTAGAAGGGGCTGGTCTGTTCTAGGTCCCCACAGCCCTCTCACCAGCAGAAAGGGGATCTTTGATTAGTCATTAAGGTTTGACACCTTCAAATCCTTTAGGCAGAGAGGACCATGCATCCAATCCAGTGATGACAATCAGAAGGATCCCACATATGGCTACAAGTGACAATTAGAAATCGCCTATCTATGGCCTAGACAGTGACAATCAGACACCCTCCACTTACAACAGGGACACTGTACCATGGTACAGCTCCATCCTAAGCCCTTGGTCCCAAGCCCCTGCCCTGCCCTGAGTGCCACCCCACAACCTTCCAGTGTTCACATGCCTGCATAGATTTTGACAAAGGAAGCTATCTTGGTTGGGTCAAGTGGCTTGATGACTTCTGGGGGTTTTGGTGGTGGTACAGAGACTGAACACAAGGTCTCATGCCTACCCATCAAGTGCCCATTCCCCAAGCCACATCTCCAGCTCCAAAGCTGAGGCTTCCATAACTGACAAAACACCATTGCCAGACAAGTCAGAGTAGAAGTCTCATCCCCTGCCTGGCTCATGAAGGGCAGAGAGCAACCTTTCTTCCTCTGGCTAGCATCCCATGATATAGGCAATTCTTAAATTACATTAAAATGTTCTTCTCATCATAAGTTCTGCCATCTGCCACTACATTCTGCAAAGAAGGAGGCCAGGAGAAAGGAAGGGCTCCGAGGGAGGTGCTGGATCTGTGGGACACTCTTCACACTCCTCCCACCCGGCACGGCCCTCCCTTTGTCACACCCTAACCCACCCTTGTTCAGTCTCCTTTGGGATCATCAGGGACAAACAAAAGCAACTGACGGGAGAGTTCAGAAGCTTTGGGGTGCAGCTACTCACGCCAGTGCTGACAAGGGACAGCATGATTCTTTCATTCAAGGCCAGCGTCTCCCCCTGCTTCATCTTCACCCTCTTCTTGTCTAAGCATTTCATGGCATACCTGAGAACATAAGGACAAGGGTGCAGTCTAGGCTGGGAACCCACACCACGCTACACAAACTTCTGGGGTATTCCTGCCGCGTTGGAGGAAAGCAAGATGACACCCAGGTGCCCTGCAGTAAATCTCCATTTCGCTGGCATGAGGGGAAGAAAGCAATCACGCAGTACTAGAGGGATTTCTCTCATCACATGGGTAGAGATGCTAGTTAGATAATGTATGAATTAGAAACAAATAATAATAATAAATGTGGAACGTGTGCTCCTGCCCAGGTGCTACTGAAGGGGGCAGGGACTGTGTGGATCAGATTCAGCTATAAGAAGTCTAGTGTAAGACCCTGACTGGATTCTCCCACCCTCATACATGTCTTGTGATCTTTCAAGTGATAAATCAACTTTTCGTGACTGTGGCTGCTTAACTGAAGAGGCCCACTGACAACTTGAAATTTGCAAGAACCATCACAGATGGAGGAAAGCAGGAAGCACTTTCAGTAAAACAGCAGAAAGCCAGAAGAGAATTCTAAGGTCTGTGTGACTGTCACATTTACTTCAAACCCCCCGCGCCCCCCCCCCAGCTCCTTAGGGAATGTCTTGAGGCAGAGACAGGCGGGTCTCTAAGAGCTTGAGGTCAGCCTGGTTTACATAGTGAGTTCCAGGCCAATCAGGGCTACACAGTCAGACCCTGTCACATGACCTATAGGAAAGCACATCAGTGCTCAAGTTTAATGTTTCCCCCCACACACTTGCTCAGATGCTCTTATAATGGCTGGGTTCCTGAGGCAGCAAGGAACCCTGAGCACATGGGAAATGCTTTATACCTGATGAGGGGCTTTCCAAATGCTCCACAGGGTGCTCCTGTCACCACCTTTGCCAGGATGGTTTTCATAAAACCTTCCCCAAAGAACTGGGAGGAAAGAACACCCCTGCCCTGGGCGGACTCTCAGCAGGAGCCCTACAGGGCCTCTGTGGGGAAGGCACCATGGGGCCCTAGCTCAAGCCCAAATGGGAGCAGGTAGCAATTCCAGGATGGGCTCCCTGGTGTGGACACTCCGTATGTGGTAGGTGGCTTCTGTTAGCTTCACAGCAGTCCTAAGAAGTGGGAGGCCAGGCTTACAGTCCAAATTCAAGCATCTATTTCGTTCTGTGGGACCGAGGCCTCCATAAAATGCTCTTAATGGTCCTGGTGAGACAAAAATGAGGCTCACATTTTCCCGGTGTCTGCTTTTCTGCAGCCATAAACTTCCCCAAACCCTCCTCGGCCAATAATCCTGTGCACACTGAAGTCGTTCATGGTCAGCTGTGGAGGCATAAGACAAAATGAAGGCACAAAATCACAGGTCAGAGCAAAACACACACAGCCTGGTGTCACCCCCCACCTCCTAGAACAGATTCCTTAAGCTGAAAAATGAGCCTCACAGGATGGTGTAACAAGGACCAGACTTGTCCCCCAGCCACCTCCCCATGACACACCAGGCCCAACTTGGAGACAGGTGTGGGGCTGCAGTGTGGGAGGGGACTGTCCCTCCACTCTTGAAAACCTTAGGTTATGCAAGCCACGATCTTGGGGCACTGCTAGTGTAGAATTCCTAGTCAAAATGAGAAGTGATCTCAACATAGAGTTTTGGGACAATCAGACCATTCCAGGCACTGTCATGAGGGGAAGATAAGAGTCCATGTCAAGAGCAGCTGTTTCAGGACAAATGTCCTTCTGACTGGGAAATGCTGAAAGGCCAGCTGTGGGGACTGGGACTCCTCAGATGAGCATAAAAGAGAACCACAGAAAAATGCTTCATTTACACATGTGCTCCCTCCATCAACAGAGCTCAGGGGCAAGGAAAGGTGTGTGTGTGTGTGTGTGTGTGTGTGTGTGTGTGTGTGTGTGTGCATATATGTGTATATATATGTGAGTGTGCATATGTGTGTATATACATGTGTATCTGTGTATATATGTGTGTGTATGTATATATGTATGTGCATGTATCTGTGTGTATATATATATGTGTGTGTATATGTGTGTATATATATGTGCATGTGTGTGTGTCTATATGTGTCTCTATGTGTGTGTGTTTGTCTGTGTGTGTGTGTGTGTGGCAGCCCCTTTCTTTTAAATCATCCAGGACACATGATACAAGCAGCAGGTTTAAAGAACCCTCTTCCAACAGAACTGCTTTAGGTACAAATCTTTCTTTACAAACAAAAATACAATTGATTCTTTTGTCCAATAAAAACCCCATGTTTCCAGAAGACCCATGTAAGGAGGGGAAAGGGAGGAGACAGAAATGTGCATCTAAACGTGACCCATGGACCAGTCCTTTCCTAGAATGACTGACATGTCAGCCTAGGGGAGGGAGAGCTATCTAGAAACTATACACATGGGTGGTCTGTGTCAAAAAGACACTTTATTCAATTTTTCTGTTTTTTTTTTTGGTGTGTGTGTGTGTGTGTGTGTGTGTGTGTGTGTGCGTATGAGAGAGAAAAAGAGAGAGATTTGCCCGTCATGCTGGGGTCTGAACTTTTGCACTTATTAGTGTTCTACTGTTGAGTTAAATACCCCACCCCTACCTCTACCAATTTCAAAATAAGGAAGAAGAAATAAAACAACCTTGAAACTTTATTGTAGCTAAAATATTCTGCTCCTTTTAGTATATCCTACAGTAAGACAGTGGAAGAGAAACATCACAATGTGGCCAGAACCCAGGCTGCATAGACGTTATATTAAGTGAAAGGCTTATGTTGTCACTGTTGTTTTTTGGGGGGGTCGATCAATTCCAGCTTAAAATAGCCCTTCTTACGCATATAAGCTCACTCTCGCACAAACATGAGAAAAGAAAGTTAAGGTCCCCAGTGCTTGTCAGTGAGCATGGGAGCCCGCCTTTCAATCCACAGAGCTATACAAGGACAGCTGTGCTGAGAACCCTTGGGGAGAACGTTCCAGAACAAAGCATTTTCTCATGACACTAGGGCAGAGGAAATTTTTTTACTTAAAAGAGGGAAAAAGGGAAACAGAGAAGGATGGTACTCACATGGATATTTAACTCCACATTCTTCCACTGACAAAATCTGGTGAATTTATCGCTAAAAGGGAATATAAGCAATTACTAAAGGGTTAAATAAACACTTAATGGCATTCTCAAAGAGCCTTATGGGATGGGCTGGAATTGAACTCCTGTGTTGCCTCTCATACAAGGAAAACATTCTCAAACAACCACCTGACGTGCCCCCCACACAATCCCTGAACCTGCTGCTCAGGGAAAACCTTGAAAGAGGGGCAGAAAGATTGTAGGAGCCAGAGAATCAGGACTTACAACAGGGAAGCTGCTACCATAAATTCTCAGAAATATGATTGCCCAAACAAGACCAGCATAGTGACAATACCAACTGACCTGCCAACAAAGACAGGAGACACCTCACATGGTCCCCATTGCTAAAGGAAAATCAATTTTCCCCAAGGATGAGCGCCCACATAGCTTGTCTAATCCCAAGTGGTCAGCCCTGCACACATGTACATGTGAGCAAAACTGGGTGGACTCAGGTTATTTATTTGCATGAATATATGTATACATGCACATATATGTCTGTAGCAATAGCAATTATAGATGAGACCGTGAACTTGGAAACACAGGAGTTAGGGGGGCAGAGTGATGACATACAACCTCAAAACCTATATTAAAACATTTTTTCCACCCAGCGTTCACGGCTTCATTTTCCTGTTTAAATGAAAGACTCAGCATCTCTCCTCAGCTGTCATATGCCACATGTATAATCTGACTTAATAGTGTATGGATGATGATTTTCTATGCCTTTCCTTCCACACAAGGCCTCTGAGAACTGGCTTCTTTTGTACAGGAAGGGCATTTCAATTTGGAGGAGTCTCACTTGGAAGGTTTGGTAGTTAAAAATGGTTCCACTATCTTAGATCTTCTGCTCTAAACATCCAAAAAAAAAAAAAAAAAAAAGGACAACCAATGTTCACAAACATTCTAAGAGCACCAAACAGAGCCGTGTTTACCGCATGCCCAATCCACACGGCTCATTGACCCCTTTCAAAAGCCCTGTGAACCAGGGCATTCCGACCCCACTTTACGGCTGCAAGACCAAAGCCAGCAAATGGTACTGGGCAAACGTCATACATGGGTGAGCAGGTGGACCAGACAACAGGCTCCGGAGCTTCTCAAAGACCATGGGGTAAAGCAGAGAGCCGCTGACACTGGCACTCTAGGTACCTTCCCCACTGCTGGCCAAGTTCTGTCTTCATTCATGCAGTAGAAAAATATCTACCCTCTGTCTTCTTAATTCAGGCATTATTATGTTTGTTCATTCATGAATGAGCAGGATTTTATGTGCTGTTGTTCTAAGAGGTTCAGAAGAAATGCAGGGTGTGGGCTTGAGGCAGTGTAGCTTGTGTGTAGTGTGTCTATTTAAGGGGTATAGGGCGCTGGATTTGGTCCTTAGAGCTAGAGAAAGGAAGGATAGAAAAGAAAGAAAGAAAGAAAGAAAGAAAGAAAGAAAGAAAGAAAGAAAGAAAGAAAGAAGAGAACGAAGAGAAAGAAGGAAGGCAGGCAGGAAGGCAGGCAGGCAGGAAGGAAGGAGAGAGACAGGAAGGGAGGGGTCATGAGAACCAGAAGGTTGATTTTGATTCCTCATAAAAACACAGAATTCAAGGTCCTTTGAGGAATGAAGTGGGAAGGAGGAAGGGAAAACGGGGTTCTTGTGGAGCCACGGGTACCAGCATCCCAAGGAAAAGCTTAGGATGCCAACTGCCACAGCCCCCAGGGATCAATGCACAGTCCCTGAATAGAAGGTTTCTGATGCCAACCACCCAAATCCCTGTGGTCTTTGAAAACACACCGAGACTTTCTCCATGACCCTAAAATGGACTTTGGAGAGTCTCTCGAAGCCCTCCTAATGCCTCACCTCTATGAGGCTAAGTTTAAAATCCCGGTTCAGAAGTGCATTGGTTTGTGCAGAAGCAACAGCCTTTGGGACTCTCCTCCTCTCATGGCTCAAACCTACTCTTCTCTCTCTGAGTCTGGGTTTGACAGAATCTGAAACATTTACCACCAGCCCATAAGCCTTAGAGTTCTGGCCAGCTCAGGAGGAGTAATAGCCAGTACCCTTTGCTTGCTAAGCATGAACTTGCTGTGACAAGTTCCTCTTCAGGGGGCACAGACATCCCCTGGGTGTGTGTCAGATTATCTGCCACTGCAGGGTTACACGGGCATGGTTCCTCATTAACACCTGGGCAGAGTGCAAATCTCTAGTGATCAGGAGCCTTGGGCAGCCAGAGCCCAAGGACCTCACGAGCTGGTGAGGGTAAAGAAGGTGGAACCTGGATATGGGAGGTGCTCAGGTGGCTCCAGTCAGCGCTTAAGCCTACTCTGCTGCTCAGTATAAGTGGTTCATTGAGTCGGGGAACTCCCTGCCCCCCAGCTTTGGCGCTCCCTGGAAGCAGCAGAGTCACAGCCACACTGCTGAGGTTTCTCCCTCTTCCTGGCAGATGCCAGAGATCACAGGAAATCCCATAGAGATCCCTGAACGCACCCACCCACCCACCTGCCTGTACATCTCTGGTGATGCTCAAGGGCCGTGCTTTCCAAACCCAAACTCCACACCTCACAATGATGCCGTGATTTTCCTCAGCATCCCATGGTAAGGGATCACTTACTCTTGAGGTAAAGAACAGACTGGGCACATCACACAAGAGTAAGATGGACTCAAGAGGTGGGAGCCAGATTTGAGAAATTAATGTAACAGGGTTGGCCTGGGATGAAGCCAAAGGTCAGCTCTGAGCCCACACTCCTCCCTGGCTTCACTGAGCCCTTCCAGAGGTTTCTGCCAGTACCAGGACCAGAGGCCTTCAGTTACATAAATGAATGCCAGTTCCCCAAGATACTGAGTGCACTCAGGGATAAATTAACTATTGGTTCTAGTAGAATCACAGCACATACTGGCAGAGGTAAACACACACAGGGGACAGCCTCTCAGGGGCTCGGAGCCCAGAGAACTGACATCGAGGCACATGCACAAACAGTTCAAGGGGCACTGACCAGCTCCAGAGTATCAGATTGCACACTGCTGTGTGGTTTGGAAACCCAGGGAGACAAATTCATTAATTGTGCCAATGATGCCTGTGAGCACACAGCCTATCCCTTCCAGGTTTGTCCTCCTTTGGGAGACATGTATGTCTTAAGGTCCCAGGATATAAAACCAGATAAAACACAGACACCACACTGTGTCAGCAAAGACCTCCCTGCGATCCTGGTAAAATGGAAGTTCCCTAAACTGTCTCAATTTTAGACCATACTCAAGTAGAAAGCAAGGAACCAGGGCATATCAAGCTACACACCCCAGAGCTATAACATGGAGTGTCAAGGAAGCAGTATGGCAGAAGGCCAGCCATAAGTCATGGCCACTAAGGGCCTGGAGCAGGGATAAAGCAATGTATGTTAGAAGGTCAGCACACAGTGGAGAACACCACACATCCATACACTCGAGGCTCCTGTGCACACTCCAGGCAGCATACCTTTCCATGAATTTTTGGAAAATGTCCCCTCGAAGGCTCTCACAGATTTCATCTATGTATGGCTAGAAAGGATGGAGAAGAAACAACACCACGTAAGTAGGAATTAATCAAAGAAAGGGCACTTCCTAGTAGACTCGGGCACAAGTTCAGCAACCACGCCTCCCATGGGACTTGACTACCCCATGCTTGGCCTTGTTGCTGACCCTCTCATCATGAACAGGCTCATCCCAGGGTTATTGTCTCAACCAGCTGCCCCTACATTCCACACAGCCAGGAACAGGGACAGCTCTTCATGAGCTATGGACACTTCTTCAGTGATAGGAGTTGGCTTCATGAGCTGTGTAAAGGGTCCAGCCCTTAGCTATGTGAACCTCTGTCATCATCTTGAAATTCTAATTTCTGTTTTGTTCACTTGCTTGATTTGGGGTTTTTTAGACAGAGTTTCTCTTTGGAGCCTGTCCTGGAACTCACTCTGTAGGTCAGGCTGGCCTCGAACTCACAGAGATCCTCCTGCCTCTGCCTCCCGAATGCTGGGATTAAGGGCACGCGCCACCACTGCCCAGCGAAATTCTAATTTCAGAAGAGAGGAATCACATATTTTGATTTGACACTGGGCCCTGTGAGTGAGTTTCCCAGCATGTTTTGTAAACTGCTATGAGCCTTTTCCATGTAGACTGAGATTTTAAAGACTGGAAGCTGATAGACCCACAGTTAATTGTCCTAATTGGCTGTGTTATTAATTAACGTTATACCTTTTTAAGACTCAGAGCTAAAGAGACCTCCAGGTCCCTCACACATGGGATCAACTAACTTTCTACCTCAGTTCTGCTTCCTCGTTCTGAACAAATAGCCACAATTTCTGTTCCACACACTCGAGTTGAGAACAAGAAGCTGGCAGACGGCCATACTTCAGAGTTCACCAGAGTCCATTAGATCTTTTGGGAAAATATCTTGATAACACTTGATGAGTTGGATGATGGGAAATTTAACCTTTTCAGTGCCTTCACTGAAAATTTGTCAAAACATGTAGAGAAAGCAGGAGGAGGGATTCTGCAGCAGCAGACAGTGTCACGGCATCAGGGAGCTCAGGTGGAACTCAATAGCCAGGTGACATGTTCCTGGAATAGGCTTTCTCCACAGGGAACAGGTGGGCTTGTTCACCGTTTACTTTTCCATTTTATCGAACACCAAATTCTTCCTATCAATCGGGCAGATACCACCACCTGGCCACATTTTAACATATCAAACCTATGCTGGTGGCTACTGATTGCCAGCCTGGCAGAGTCTAGAATCACCACAGAGACATGTCTGTGAAGGAAGAGCCACCTTGATGTGGGGGACAGCATCCCAGGAAGCAGCAGCTTCCTCACTGGAGACTCCTGCCACCACACCTTCCCTATCACAAGAACTGTGTCCCCAAGGACTTGAGCCCCAACAAACCCTTCTATCCTGAGGTGTCGTGTGCCTTCCCCATCTCTCTACTCTCAAGCCACCCACCATGAGAAGAGGCAGACTAGAGGGAAGCCGGACTGCAGGGGCCTCTACTCCTAATCTTGGACACAGTATGCCAGCTGGCTAAAAGTTAAGTAAAACTCTTTATTGCAAGCAGTCACTGTTGGTTCTTAAAGATAAATCTTTCTTAATGTTGTATTTCCTCTCCCTCCTAGGAACCTCAAGTGACATGACAAGCAATATACGATATAGTTGAGCGATGTCAGATGTGACTAGCTAAGGGTTATCTACATGCCATGTAGTTTATGGTACAGTACAGCAATGCTAGCCGCACTGGCTAAGGGCTATCTGTGCAAATCAGCTGAAACCCAAAGTTTGCACACTACAAATACATGGAGAGGGTAATGCAGACATTAGTACCACACTGACAGTAAGATTAGTCACAGCTTTCATCTGAGGAACAGTGAGAACAGCAGGCCCCTTGAAAAGCATCCTGTGTGTACCCACTCCACCAAATCTCCAAAGTGCCTCTGAGGGCCAATGCCCTCTCACTGATGAGCAAGATGGGTTCAGAAGCTGTGGCTGCTCGGAGCTGAAGCATGGAGCCTTTCTGTAATTTAAAAGATACTTGTGTCCCCCTTTGTCAGTCATGAGAAAACCAGAATTTCCCCAGGAATCTCATGCCCAAGGGAGGAAATGGCTGAAGCATGGTGCCAGCCAGAGAAGGGTACACTGCATGGTTCTGAGAACTCATCAGAACACCTTGCGGGATGACGATGACACTACAGCCTGGACAAGAGTGATGGATAGGACCACACCTGAGTGTGGCCAGGTCTGCTCAGCTATGCATATAGAGACCTCTACCTAAACCATATCCTCAAGTCAGGACCCAGGTGACAGACGTACGGAGTAGGGTGGATCTCTTTGTCCTTCTCCCCAGTGTGGCCATGCTTCAGAAATTTCCTTCCTCTGTGCTTCACTGTGAATTTGACTCGTGTCTATTTCTTATTAATGACCTGCAGTCAACCCTAGCTTGTCAGGGTTGCTAGCAACATGGGCTCTGACCCTAACTCTGGGAACATTCTGGACTGTGCAGACAGGTCCACCTAACTTGAAGGGGAAAGCAATATCTGACATGCCACTAGACAGGTGCGCTGAATCTGAGAATCATTTGTTTTATTTTGCAGAAGTTTGTAATGTTACAAGACATCCAGTCTAAAACCAGTGTGGCACAGTCACATGCACCTGTAATGGCCCTGGGGAGGTGGAGGAACCAAGGGCTAGCCTGGGCTTCACCAGTGTATCTCACTCTGTAAATAACCTGGTAATCCAATAGAGGAGGAATTGGTTCATTTCACTTTTGAAAACAGATTCATGTGGTTTTGCTTCATTTCTTGTAATTCATGGAAACATGAACATATGCTACCTATCTGAGCCTCTGACGGCCCTCATGACTACTGCCACCTCTCCAGAAAACGCACACTGAAAAGGCTCTTGGGGGAGCAGCAAAAACACACAGACCTGTTGGCAGAGAAGCCAGCTTTCCAAGTCTTTCATTAAATCTTTGTAGTGTTCAGGATAGAAACAGTCAAGTGACAGGGGACCCTGAAGGTTCTTAGAGCATCACTTCTAGCTCTCAAGCATAAATCGCACCTAATCCAGTGGATAATCACCAAAAGCCATATCACCACACTCATCATAGACACCAAATGCCAAGCAGGAGGAAGGCTCGACTCTGTGTTAGCTCAGTGGATTTCCAGAACATATAGTTACAAGAATGCCGCAGCGGGCCCTTTCCAGAAACATCTGTGGAGCCTGTCAGTGCATATTCTGAGCAGACTGCCACACGGCATCAATTCTGCTAGCTGAGAAGACATGATCAGGTCTGACTAGGAGACAGGTCAGGGCCATTTGTTTGGAAGCCATCTCATCTTACCTGGAAAAGAGTGGCTGTCACCTGTTTCTTGGAGAGATGGCTCTGAACATGTTCCACAGCTTGCTTTGAGAATGTCTTTTTAAAAAAGGAAGGAAGGAAGAGAGACAACATGTTTTTAATAAGGATGTGAAATATCTATAGATCACACATTACAACAGATGGCTTGAAACAGTGATCCTGTAAGAGTAACCTGTGGGCTCTCTGCAGACACTCCAAGTCCATAGTGTCTTCTGGGTATCCAGAGTCCTTCTTTAGGTGCCCAGAATAGAACCCTCAGTAGTCAAGGTTCCCATGGCAACAGAGTATAAGGAATCCCACCACTGCCTGACTATATAACCTCTTCCTCCCTTGTTGACAGTTCTATAGAGGTAAGCTGTCTGTTGTGTCAGAGGAAATGGATGCAGGAACATGCAAGAAGGAATTCTACACAAGCTGACGAGCGAGGCCACAGTGGCCAATGGCTCTGGGTCCAGGAGGTCTCACTGCTGCCCCAGCAGAGGGCAACTGGAGCAAACAGAACAGAACTTCCATGTGGGTTACAAACTGCAAAAACCTTTCAATGAAGTCTGCTTTATTCAAATTGTTTATCACTGATTAATGGGATTCCTAATCTACTCATAATTCATAGAAACATGAAAAGTATGCCCTCACTATCACAGCCACCTCCACAGAAAATCTATACTAGAAAAGGCTTTTGGGGAGAAGCCGTTCACCCTAAGCAGCAGAAAACACACACACTCGGGGCTGTCAGTGGAGAGGCCAGCTTTCTGAGTCATGTCATTTAAATCTCTGCAGTGTTCAGGATAGAGGCAGCCAAGCGGCATGCCACTCATGGTGTGTCGAAGGTTCTCAGAGCACCGCTTCTAACTCTTGAGCATAAATCTCAATCTCACCACAGGCCCTTTGAATAAAACCAACTCTGCCAAAGCTCAGTTGAGGAAAGCCAAGTTCACACACAGAGGCTCCAAGAAGCACATGCATGATCTAGGGCACAGCCAAGCCACCAGGGTACAAAGCAGTGAGCTTCTGCCCAGATCCAGTTCCCTCTATATAGCACAGTGAAGCAATAGAAGCTCTGAGAGGGGCCAGCTTGTGCAAGGCCACCCACACACCATTGAGAACTGTAGTGCTAAAGGCACGATGGGGCCATCCATCCGGTCAGCCTTCCCGCCACAGTACAATGCTGTGCCTTTGGGTTGTCACATATCCTATGGCCACACAAAGCTCCAGGATACTACAGAAAAGGCTCACAGGGAGCTCCGAAGTAACTTCATCTAACTTTAAATAAGCTCAAATAGGCTGTGTGGCTAGTGGCCTTGACCCTGGATGGAGTAGGTGAAGACTGTATGTCCTTTATAAAATGGCCTGCTGGTACAGAGGCATCCTCCAAGTGGCAACTTCTACCTTGATAATTAGACCACTTACATCTGGGAAGTCAGTTCCTGAAAAATCCAGTTTTTCCCAATTAGATTGTTTATCTGACTTCTAAGGAAGACAGTAATTTCACCCATCACTTAACTATTCATGAATAAAATTGACTTAAGTGTTCATGAATAAAATTAACATAATAATTATAGTCCTTATTAATCCCAAGACAGCATTGATGATTTATATTAATCGAATTCTGATTCACCTAATTATTAAAGTACAGCTCAATTAAAACTAATAGAGCAAGGCTAGGGAGATGGCCCAGTGGTATTTGCCTATCAAGCATAAAGCCCTGGGTTCAATTCTAGATCCTCAAACAATACAGCAACACTAATCATCACATCATCAACGTCACATCATCATTACATCATCATCATCACCACATCATCATCACATCATCAACGTCACATCATTATCCTCATCATCCTCCTCATCATCCTCATCATCACATCATCATCATCACATCGTCATCATCACATCATCATCCATTGCATCATCATCACATCATCATCACATCATCATCATTATATCATCATCATTACATCATCATCATTACATCATCATCATCATCACATGATCACACCATCATCATCACACCAGCAGCAGCAGCAGCAGCATCTAGGTGTGACAGTATATGCTTGTAGTACATAGGACGATGAGGTAAAGGGATTGGGAGTTCAAGTTCAACCTGGGCAACATAGAGACCCTATAAATAATGAGGCTAAGAATGAGAATAAATCCTCATTTCCTTCATCAAGCCTAGAATAGATACTTTTCTTCATGATCCAAATGAGCCCTCTCATAGCATTAGCTTCTAGCAGTGCCAGCATTGGCTTCAGGGAATAAAGCAAGTGTATGGTGTATCAGGAGACACTGAGTCAGAAAAGAAGACCCAGATCCCATCCCAGGATTGCAGCCATACAGCTGTGCTCCCTTCTGAAAACGCAGGCAGTGTGACCCCCACATGGTGCTGTCTGGGAAAGGGGTGGGATACTCACATGTGTACAGGACAGGAGCTCCCTCATGATGTAGGCATCGTACATCTGTCGACTCCGCCGCAGCCGGTCCTCTTCATTATCCAATTTCTCGTATTCTTTTATCTATATTTCCAGAAGTTGTCAACATTAGCTTAACCTCCTAGAACTATGACTGACCCAGACTGACCCTAGAACCAACCCTTCCCCATGAGAGATAAGACAAATCACCAAAGCAGTGATTCCCCTAAAAATGATGACTTCACATGAGGGGATAACAAGATTGCAACAAGTTAGGCCCGCTAGAAACACAATGGATTTCCCTCTGTGTTGACCCTGAGCCTTTTAATATGGAAACAAAAATGACTGTGGCCACAGTTAGCAGCACAGAAGTCAGGGACCATCTGCCTGGCCAGTTCTCTCCAACAGTCTGATCTGGCTATGCTTCAGCTCTGAGGTGGAGCTTGTTCAGCTCTGAGATGGAGCTTGTTCACATTCTACCAGAGTTCCATCATCATCAAGGAGAAATTAGTCTGGGGGGATTCGTCATGAGATTTGACTGATAGAGGCAGGAAAATAGACGGGGCTAGGAGACAAGAAGAATTCTGGGAAAGGTTGGCAGAGAGGCTGTTTGAATGCCACCTTGCTGAGATGACCTTGAACTCATCCATGTAGAGTGGCCACCAACCCACAGTGCACCAACCACACTGAGTCTGTCTGAGTCACTGGAGCAGTTCTTATGCCTGGGGACACTTCACCAGTTAGCTGTTGGCTTTCTCTACCAGAGGAAAGCTCAGAGACAGACAGGACTCTGCCTTTTGTTCATTGCACAGGTGTGAGCCTGGTGTTCAATGAATATGGCTGAGTAAGTGAGGGCAAAAAAAAAAAATCTTAGGAACTGACCCTCTGCTGTTACATTCTCTCTTCTAAGATTGTCTATGTCATGACGGGTGTCCCGAGAACTGGGGAGGAATGACCACCCAGCTCGCTGAACCTCAGGATTAAGTTCCCATGATGTGAGTCCCTTGAGTGCAGGGAGCTTGGCATCTTACAGGCCAGAGATGGTCATGTGACTTGTCTCACATCTCACAGCACCTGGAGGTCATGGTGGGAAGGGGCAGGACGGACTTGGGACCCTATCACCTCTGCCTTCTGTGGAATCAGAGGCCTTTACCAACAACCCCTTTCTACCCTTCCCTGGCTTCTACTAGCAGTTATTTAAAGTACTTGCCAATCACTTCACTATTTGACTCATCAGTGCATCTATCTATCTTGTCTTTGTGTCCTGTCACCTTGCTTCCTGCATCCATCGAGGACAGGCTCTCCCTGTGTCCTGCTGGGCAGATGGAGGAGGCTGGGCACCTCATAGCACAGGGAGTTGAACTGGAGCTGGGCTACCACTTCCATGGCGCCTAGTCCACCTCTGACCTGATCCCTTCCTGAATATGGCCTTCCATGGAGTTCAAGGACAGGTTGTTTTTTGTTTTTTTTTTTTTCTAGAGAACAAGGAGTTCTCAGCCTAGCCTGGTGACACCCCACGCTCCTTGGCTTCAATGTTTGGCACGTGTCTTGAGGGACAGAATCCTTCCCAGCTCATGTGGTTTCAGTTGAGACCCTGAAACCTCTCCATTCTCTCTGTCTCCCACTGAAGCATCATCTCTCTAGCCAGTGGAGAGCCTGAATTCCCAACTACCCAGTTCACCCCAAAAGAGTGGCTGTACATTAGCAGTGGACAGATCACTCCACCAGGGTGTCCCTCGCTTACACATTTGGCTCCCAGGAGGTCTGCATTCTCTAACCCTCATAAGGCTAAGTTAGAGTTCAATGTACCTTCCAAAAACTTCTACACTAACTTTTCAGGCCCCTCCAATCTCAAATTTCACCCAGTGTCTTGGGGAAAGCAGATAGATGTATGTCTGGAGCCCCAGGCCCCACAGAGTCTCCACTCTAGTCCCCCATGAGGGCCAAGAAACTTCAGGTTTTAGGTTCTCTTTCAAACCCAGCAACCTCCAGCCTCACTCAGCTTTCATGAACACAACCAAAGTCAAAAGCCAAAAGCCAGGTGCCACCTATGACCTCCAAACGACTCTGGAGCCTCTAGTCAGCTGCACTCTTCCTCGCTTGTGCTCCAATGCCTCTAGATCAGTGGTTCTTAACCTTACTGATGTTACAACCCTTAATGCAGTTCCTCAAGTCATGGTGAACCCCAACCATAAAATTATTTTCGTTGCTACTTCCTAACTGTAACTTTGCTGCCATTAGGAATCATAATGCAAGTATCTGATATGCCAGATACCTGATATGTGACCCCATGAAAGACTCATTGGACCCCCCAGAAAGGTCATGACCCACAGGTTAAGAACCACTACTCTAGAGCCTGAGCTATATTACATCAGCCCTGGCTTGTGGGCGTGGCCAGCTCTGCTAATGCCATCTGCCACCACCAAGTTATTTAATAAGCTTCTGAATTACATAAGGTGTTTATGATCCTTAATATTTTCCCAACGTTAAGCCAAACACACATTGGGAGGAAATTGTTCGAGAGGGCTGAGTCTTACCTCTTCATAAAACTTCACCTGCGGCACTGCTTCATCGATTTCATTCAAACAGAAGTCTTTGAATAGCAGGAAGCCTAAAGGTAAAGACGGGGGGAAAAATCAGCTGGGGAAACAAGAAAATTTTATCCTGCAGGGTTTCTTTGAAATAACTCAGCATCTCCCTCCCCTACTTCAGAAGAAAAATGAGAAATTGAAAAGGCCAAGGACACCTTGGAGGGATGGACCCCAGGTGACTATACCAAACACATCTGGCTTGGCATTTTTTTTCCCTCTGCTTATAATACACATTGTCACCACCACCTGAGGCCGCAGGTCACTACAGCGAATTAACAGTCCAAGAGGACAGAGCCAGAGCCCAGAGGGTTCATGTGACCACCACAGACACCTGTGGAAACAGGGCCAGATGCCTGGGGCTAGTGGAGCTTACATGGCCCTTCCCTCAATCCTCACTCACTGCCTCACATCCTAGCAATCACATGGGCCACAACAAGCTACTGACTCTAAAGGGACTCTTTACTCAGGACGCTGGTCCACCTTGAAGTCAGCCATGTCTTATGCCTGGAACACCCCAGCTCCGGGCCCCACACATAAACAATTTTGAGACTCTTAATTCCCTCCAAAGTTGCCCCAAGAGCCATCTTTGCTCTGAGGTCTGCCCTGAATGAGAAACAACACTAGACTCCATATAAGGGTGCATGTCCCTGTCTGTGCAAGAGTGCTCAAAGGAGAGTGTGCAGGTAAGTGTGTGCACCTGTGCAGGCTAGACTTCAATGTCAGGTGTCTCCTGGTGAGCTCTGGAATCTTTCTATCTCTGTGCCCCCTGAGCTGGAGGTAGAGGTGAGCATAGACACATCTGGGTTTTCAGATTGGTGTTGGGCATCCAACCTGAGATCCTCAAGCCTGCAAAGCAAGCTTATCTCCTGCCACTGCGCAGAGCACCCCCTGGTCCAGGAGAGCTTATCCCTTTCCATAGCTTCCCCCATAGGCCTCCCGAGAGATGCCTGCCCACCCGCCCGCCTGCCTCTCCAGTTTGTTTCTGAGCTTCAAGCCTCCTGTCCTTCAGAACCCTGACACTTAGCAGAAGCCTCACTGTGGAGCCTGAACAAGCCAAGCACATTGAGGGTAGAGATGGTGGACTCAAAGACTCCAGAAGGTTGGGGGCTATGAAGATGGCCCAGCCAGTAAAGGTGTCTGCCTGCAAAGACAGAAGAGGGTACTAGAGCCCCTGCTGCTAGATGTGAGGTGGATGTGAACATTCAGGGTTGAATTCTGGTATCTGAACCTCCCTAGCCCCTGGAAGAGCAGTAAGTACTCCTAACTGTAGGGAGACACCGTAACCACGCCTCCTAAGGGCTGGCTACAGGTGCCTGACCACGCCTTTCAGGGCGTGGTCAAGGTGAGGTCAGGATGACTCTTAATAGGTTTTTAAGGGACTGCAAGGCACATGGGAGCCCTTCTCTCTGGCCTGCCTGTCTTGCTGCCCCTGGCACGCTCTGGCTTGCGTTTGGCTGGTGTTTATCTAAATCAAGATATCTTAACCTTACGGACTTGTTATACCTAACCATTGAGCCACCTCTCCAGCTCCCAGAGTTTTAAAATAGAAACACTCCAATAAAAGAGTGGGCAAATGTCTGGGCATGAAAGTTGAACAGATACATAGAAGGGACCCCAGGTGTCTGCCATTCTTTCAATGTTCATTATGTACTCTGAATCTCCCCTTCCTAACCACTAAGATAGCCAGGTGCTCAGTTTGGACCCCCCCCCCATTGCTAGGGAGGGCCGGTAATGCCACAGCTCCTCCCACTTCCAAATCCATAGGCACAGAAGGGACCCTGATACCAAGTGAGTGACTGAAGAGCAAATGCACTTGGATGGGGACCCACCAGGAGGGTGAGAAAGGACGTATGTGCCATGAAGGAAGGAGAACTCCCTCTAAGCACCAATGACTATGGCCATGATGGGAACCACAGCCCAACTCAGAATGGACGGCTCAGAGTCCAGGCCCTTCAAGAGTGAAGGTGTGGGTTGCCGCCACACAGGTAAAGACCCCTGCAGGGGCTTAGGGCAGCAGAAGGGGTGGAGGGATGGAAGGCAGCTGTAACTATCAGCCAGATCCAAGTAGCCGGGCTCAGAAATGATAAGCTGTATGGAGACTTCCTCCATGTTTTAGGATGAGTCTGTGTGGACACTAAGCCAATGTCCCTACTTTCTTCCCTTCTCTATCCTCTCCTCAGGTGGACCAACTTCCCCTTAGCACGTGAGCACTGTTAACTCTAAGTACCTCGTGGGGTGTAACTTGCAGGATAGAATCAAGAATATTAATATTAGCCATTACCCCAGGTCTTATGCCCTCATGGTAAAACAGTTACTGTGTTTTCAGTTGTACTAAGTACCTAGGCACTATAGGAGAGGCACCCAAGGCAGGCAAGGCTGGCAGACACCCCCCTGAGGCAGACGATTGACTGTAAGCCACAGTGGGTGGCCGAGAACACTGTGCACACATGTGTGTTCACAGAGCTGTAACTGACAACTAAGTCATGGCTTATTCACAGAGTGGTCATCTGGTGCACCTCCAAACTGGGAGTGCCAGGAAACTCAGGGAAAGCTGAGGGGCCATCTGGAGAAAGGATGGCAATGGGGACAGGCAAAGGAGGATGCTAAGGACCACTGCAGTGTGGGTGTGGACTGTGAGCACTTCAGTGGTCAGTTCCCTGGTGGATGTGGGCTGTGCAGCACCTCAGCCATGAGTTACCTGGCAGTGTACCATGGGCAGTTCAGAGAGGAGGCCTGTTCTTAAGACACACAAACTTATTCATGTTTGGAGGGGCATGGGATACCTGATTCACCAAAGGACACGCATACACACCAAACACACACACACACACACACACACACACACACACACACCACACTCACATATTCACCCACATACTTGCAATATACACATACACACTCACCACATTCTCACACTCACACTGTCACATACATACACACTCACACATATACACACTCACACACTCACACTCTCTCGAACTCACTCACACATATACACACAAAGAAAAATAAACACACAAAAGAATAAGAAGAAAGTGAAGGAGACAAAGAGCTTGGGGGGCTTCTAGAATGAGACTTCCTAATCTGTTTTGGGGACTGAGGACACTTAAAATGACAGAAAATACGCCTTTCTGCCGACCGAGAGCCCTCATTCAGTGGCTGATGGAAACAGAGACAGACATCCACAGATATACACTGAGCTGAAATCGGGAATTTAGTTGAAGAGAGGGAGGAATGAAGAGCGAAGGGGTCTGTACCAGGTTGGAGAAACCCACAGGAACAGTTGGCCTGAACAAGGGAGAGCACATTGACCCCCAGATGCTGTCGGGGAGGCCAGTACAAGACTGATCCAGACCCCTGAACATGGATGTCAATAGGGAGGCCTCTGCACTCCAGGGAGCCTCTGGTGGTGGATTAGTATTTTTCCCTGGTGCAAGAAGGGACTTTGAGAGCCCATCCCATGTGAAGGGTTACACTCTGGCCCTGGACACATGGGGAAGGGCCCAGGCCCAGCACAGGAAGGCTTGTTCCCTAACTAGAACTAATAAATAAATTTTTAAAAAATGACAGAAAATACAAATCTATATTTTTAAAAAGACTATGTACAGTCAAGTGGTGCCCACTTACAATCCAGCACCCAGGAAGCTAAGGCAGGAGAACTGCTAAAATTCTAGACCATCCTAGGCTATATAGTGGATTCTAGACTGGTCTAGGCTACAAGGTGAGACAATGTCTTAAAAATAAAACAACAACAAAACAGTGTCAGGGGTAAAATAAAAAATATAATTTACAGTTATATAATTTCCTGGAGGAGCTATTATATTATGCTGGAGAGATAGCCAGACTCTTGCCTTTAACAATTAAAATTTTTATGTGGCCAATAATAGAAACAAAATGCTATCAGTATGACTTTCAAATATGCATCCCTTTTGTAATTAGCAATTTCCTAAGCACTTAAGATTGTTGAGTTTGGCACTACAGAAAAATAAAAAAAATTAAAAAAAAGCTGAGTACGTTACATCCTCGAGCAAACATGAAAGGATGGAAACGCTAATATAATTTACCTGGAGTGCACGTCTAAGATCCACGGCAATTAACCTGATGCTGAGCAGGGAGAGAGCAGTCACAAGGCCGATCAAGATCACATGCTCCAAGGCTTCTCTGAAAAGCCTTCAGGTGGCTGCTTCCACCTGCCACGCTTCTCTCCAGCCCTTCAGGGACCACTGAGCCAGGATGTGCCCAATGCTCTGCTCTGCCACCTCACCTAGTGCCTCAGAACAAATTTCTTTATGCCAGTATCATGACTGGATCACGTGAATTACCCAGAAACCCTGCAAGTGTGTTGCACCTGCTTCACTCAGGTGAACAAGCTCACAAAACCCAGGTTGTGTTTCTCTGGCACTTGTGTATGTTTCAGCTTTAAACATAGAAAGGGAGAGACTTTGGGCCAGTAAGATGGCTCAGTGAGTAAAGGAGCTTGCCACCAAGCTGATCACCTGAGTTTGATCCTCAGGATCTATGGGTAGGAAAGAAGTGACTTCCACAGGTGCACCCACACACACCCCACACCCACACCCACACCCCCCCACACACACAAATAAACAAATAATTCTATGGTGGTGGCACACACCTTTAATCCCAGCACTTGGGAGACAGAGCAGGCAGATCTCTGCCAGTTTGAGACCAGCCTGGTCTACAGAGTGAGTTCCAGGACAGCCTCCAAAGCTACAGAGAAACCCTGTCTTGAAAAACCAAAATAATAATAATAATAATAATAATAATAATAATAATAATAATAATAATAATCAACACTATTTTTAAAAGGAAGGGTAGCTTAAGTAGCACTCATGGTGTAAAGACCGGAGGACAGTGAAATAGGAGCAAGTCAGCAGTGGGAGACACCGCAAGCTTGCAGCACTCAGACAGGAGACGCCAGAAACTCAATGGCCCAAGAATAAAAATAAAATTATCCAAAGGGCAGACAGTGAACACTTGCCATAATCGTGTTGTGCAGAATAAC